ACAATGGGGAGCAGAACAGGCAGACTGACTGGAATACACTGCTAAGGGGAGCAGCGGGTGAGACAGGAGAGGTCTGCTGTGCCACTGGGTATCTCCTTGGCCAAGGATCGAACTCAGGCTGCAGCAGTGATAGGGCTGAGACTTAACCTCTAGGCCACCAGGAAGATTTTGAATTAAATACCATTTATTGTTAATTCATAAAATAACATATATATACATAACATTTTAATAATAAGGTAATCTAATTTAATATTGAAAATGGCTTTCTTTAACAACAAGCTACTGGGTTACAAATTCTTTGCTGAATAACTCTTTTAGAGTTGGTACAAACCATTTACAGCAAACCAGTAGGTCACCAAAACATAGACGTCAATTTGGCTGGTTGAAAATAAATTCACCGTGTCCCTCTACTTTTCGCTTTTTGCTGTGTGTGTGCATGTGGGTGCACGCGTGATGTGTGTGATAGTGACATGTCATTAAATGATTTAATACTCTATCAAAACTGATACAGAAATGACATAAACCCCAAGGATTTAAATATTTAAAATGTATGTCATTGCATAAAATTTCTGGCAGTCATTTTGTTGACATTTATTAACCTAGGCATTTAAAAAAAATCCATATATACTTATATATATTTCCATTCCATGATTCTCTCTCCTGGCTCTCTGGAGATTTCCCACTCTATTTAGTCCAGATTAACATTTGCTAGTATTCAGGCCCAGATTTTTCATGTGAAAGATGCCAGCCAGTTGAATATAATACTCACACCTTAGAATATTGCCTACGAGCATGTACAAGAGAACTTGATTATGTTGAACAGAAATGCCATTTCATTTTAAGAACTACATTATTTTTCCAGATTGCATTTTGGCGTCACTCTTTCATGCTGAGTGAAAATATTTATTATATGGGTTGATGTTTGATTTATATGGGTAAATATTTACACTAGGTAAGCTGATTTTGGTGTAAGGGATCAGATACACGTATGTAGTGCCAGAGCAGAAAAAAAAAATGCAGGAGATGAAAAAAGGCCCATAGAAGAATGAATTATGATAACCTGAAGTCACCCTCTAGTAACAGGCCTCAAATATAGGCAGAAAGAAGGGACTTCCATGCAAGTGTGGAAGGGTTGAGTATCCATTCCTGCTGCTACTTGCAGGTAACAGGTGTATCAGGTGAAAGTGTCAAGGGGTCACTTAAGAAACATGCCCTATAAGCATGGATTGTGGACATAGCTGGTAATTTTGGGCAAAGTATAGCAGGCTTAGACATGGGGTGCTGAGTACACAAGTATATCAGATACCCTTGAGCCTCCGTAGCAGACACACCAAAGCTGTATACCTGCGGCTCTAATTTCTCTGTGGATGCTGGGGTGATTCCTACCTGGAGGCAGTCTTCCATGCCAGGTGGTAGAATGAAACTCCATGGCCATGACTGATGTTGGGAAAAAGCAGGCTGGCAGCTCTCCTGAGATGTGACAGGTGCCCACGAGAACCCCAACAGGCTCTTTTTGGTCTGTCATCCTGCTGAAATGTTCAACATTAGAGATTTATTTCATCGGTTCTTGAAAGAGTACCCTGATAAAGGGACAATCTAGTGGACAATCTAGTGGAAGGAGGGGTAGAAAAGGAAAAGCTGAAACTCAATCGGAATTCTCAAATAATAGCAGGGTGGGGCTCGCTCTCCAAGCCAAGACAGAGAAAAGAGAGAAAAACTCATCCCAACTCATGTGAGATGCCAGATAGAAAACTGATGAGTGGCACAGGCTGGACAATACGTATTAAGTGACCCCATGGCTAGGTCATGGTCGTAAGGGGAAGGGAGATGGGGTAGCAGCGTGAACTTTCACAAGGACTGACTTTGCAAGACTTGATCAGTTTGATCTCTCCAAAGAGATTTTATAACTTGCTTAGGAGGGTTTTCTTTTCACATCCTTGAAATTATTCAGATGGCAAAATACTGCTAGAAATGTCTTGGCTGCAGTATCAAGCAAGACATACAACACACTCTTTCATTTTCTGTAATGAAATAGAAGGGGGATTTAAAAGTATCCTCCAACATTTAATAGAGAGGAAAATGGCCAGCAATGCCCACTAGGTGGCGAGGGTGCCCTGTACTGTCCAGACCACCTAGTTAAGGTGGAGCCTGCAGCATCTTTCCATCAAGGATCCCATCGCATCGCTTTGTGGCCAGGCAGGTGTCTGAAATCATTTCTCAGACGCTGGAGAAGAGTTTGCAATTATTAGAGAGTAAGTCACTTTGCGGATTAGATGTCTGCCCCAAATACTAACCAGTAAGAAGGCTACTGATTAGATCGTACGTGTTTTAATACCTCCCTGCACTGTGACGTTGCTTTTCAGCTGAATTCTCTGCTGCAGTTGCTGTCCTGACTCCCAGCAATCTGGAATTAAGAGCTGCTTCAGGGGCTACGCTTTATTTTCTGTAAATTTCCTACCTATTAAGCACTGCTCATCAACCAAGCCCACCTGAGATCCTCTTCCCTTGGCACTTTACAAGCCTTTGTTCTCTTTACGGTCCTCTTATGTGTAGTAGCACGAGTTAAGCTCTGCACGAGGAGGATTAATAATTCCAGGGTTGAAAGAGCAGTTCAATGAGTGCAAGTATGTGGCTAATGTTCCCTAACAGTGAGGTTTCTCCCTTAGAAAACCTCTCACTTATAACCCCTTTTTCCCCCCAGGGGGGATGGCATGGGCAGGGTGTGCTCTCCATTAATTTGGTGTGAATTTTTAGTAGTGATATGTAGATTTTATTTACAGAGCATTTTCTTCCTATTTGACGCACTTATAAGGAATGTTTTCTTCCCATCTTTAATGAACTCTAGCCCATAAATTTATATCTTCAATTCTTTGATGTATTTGATTTGTTAACATTTAATTATAGAAAATAATTACGAACAGGACATAATCCTTGTCTCCTGGGGCTGAGATATTTATAACCTTATGTCAGTCAATTATTAAATTAAAGTATCTTCATATAAGTTTGCTGAACAACGTATAGACAGAAAAGAGAATTTTTAGTCTTAAAACAGTTCCCCTAAAATGCCAGCTTGTTCTGGTAAGTACTGTCACTGCCTTTCTATTTGACAAATCTTCACAAGGGGTCTTGACAGATTCTGTCAATTGCACAGTTATGTGATAACCCGCATTAATTTAACCATCAGCTTTTTTTTTTCTTTCAGGATGGTGTTCTTAGGAATAATGTCAGACCATAAGCAGAGTCTTCTTTCCACGCCCCAGCCACCCATCTTCTAGATGGTCTCTGCCTTCGAAGGCGCCCAGTGCCATGACGAATGTGGGACAGTTAGGATTCTTGCAACACCACTGAGAGCAGGGTGGTTTTGCACAGATTAAGTCTTCGGGTGCTGGTAGGGGTGGGATAAAACTGGTGCAGTTTGATGAAGAACTAAATGAGATAATACAAGGTGGAAGAATTCCAAGGGACAAGGGTGGAGGACATGGGTGCCCTGGTGGTGGAGGTGTTGACATGCATCTGAAGAGGTGGGCCTCTAAATTTCTAGATCGTATACAGTGTTGTAAACCAATGTTACTTCAATAAAAAAAAAATTTAAAAAGGAAAAAACTACAAAAATAAAATACATGCATTTAAGTTGTGCTTGGTAGAGAGCAACTTCTGGATCATAGTTGCATTATGAGATTTAGCTATGATGATGGAAAATTACTATAATAAATTACTAAGAGGCAGGCTTGTCACCGCTGCATTTTAAGTTTAGCAAAATTTTTAGGTGAAATGAATTTAAAACATTTTAGAAACTTATTTGGGATTTTTAATGGTAAAATCAATGTGGTATACACCCATATTATTACTTGATGATGCACCGGGAAGCTTATACAGTATTATAATGCAATGTTACTTTGATAAATAAGAAAAATGGATTCAAAAATTAATTCATGCGGCAATATGCATAATTTCTGTGGTTTTTTTTTTAATTCCAAAGGAACAGAAAAAAGCCTTTTGATATATGAAGCATGTCCTTAAAATTCATAAGGGCATTATGATTTCCCCAATATTTCCCTACTTCAGTCTTTTAAAACTTCTCTCAACATATCAAAAATAGTACAAAGGGAAATTTTAAACATATATTTTTAACATCTTTCAAAAATATAGAATCTTTTAAATCTTTTCAAAGTTTTTTTATGTTAAGTAACTTTTTTTCATTTTTCTTTTTTTAAAAACATTTATTTATTTATTTATTTATTTATTTTTAAACAATATTTGCTTCCCCCCACCCCCTCAGGTGCAGTCCTCATAGAATTTCCTTCCCCAAGGCACCCGTGCACCATCACCACAGTCCCCTGTGCTCCTCCCTCCTTCCCTCTGATCCCTCTCCCTCCTCATCCCCTGCAGGATGTCTCTGGTTTATAATTGTCTGTTTTTGCTTTGTTGTGCTTTGTACTGTTATTATTTTTTTACACTGATGTTTTATTTGGTTCCCCTATATTCCTGCTATAAGGGAAATCATCCGATATTTTTCTTTTTCCTTCTGGCTTATTTCACTGAACCTAATTCCTTCTAGCTCCATCCACATTGCTAAATTGCATGAGCATATCTTTTTTGATTGCTGAATAATATTCCATTGTATGTATGTATGTATGTATGTATGTATGTATGTATGTATATATATATATATATATATATATATATATCACATCTTCTTGATTCAGTCATGTATTTCTGGGCATTTGGGTTATTTCCAGGTTTTACCCATTGCAAATAGTGCTGCAATAAACACAGGTGTACAGGTGCTCTTTTGAATCACTGTTTTTGTGTCCTTTGAGTAGATCCCTAGGAGTGGAATTGCTGGGTCATATGGTAGCTCCATTTTTAGTCGACTGAGGAACCTCCAGACAGTGGTTGGACCAGCTTGCACTCCCACCAGCAATGCAGGAGAGTTCCTTTTTCACCACATCCTCACCAACATTTGTTGTTGCTTGTTTCTTTGTTTGTTTTTTTTTCCTTAAAAATATGAACGCTTCAAGAATTTGCGTGTCATCCTTGTGCAGGGGCCATGCTAATCTTCTCTGTATCGTTCCAATTGTAGTACATATGCTGCCGAAGCAAACACTGTTGCTTGTTTTTTTGATATGTGCCAATCTTGATAAGTAACTTTTAAAGAAATTATAATGAAATAACACAAGATACGTTGAAAAAAAGATATTAATAATAAAATAGATTTGATAAAACTTTATTATTACATAAATAAGGATTTATTAGAGGGTAAAACACACATCTAGAATACACTCCAGAAACAAATTAGAATTCTGGTTTGTCAATAAAGACATCATTAAATTCATAACCTGGTATACATGCATTACATGATTATAGATTTCCTGATGCTGGAGATTTATTGAGATTTGCCTTCCTGGTCTCAGCCACCACTTACTGAATGGTATTTAAAATAAAACAAAGTGTTAGATTTTGTTTGTAGAGTTTTTCAATGATAATTTTTTAATAATTGTTTTAATTTCAATTAAAAAAGATATGCATATTATGAAAACATGCTTAAAATATGTAGTTCAACTATATATATATAATTTAACTTGACTTACTGAAATGTTTTATGTTGAATTTTTGTACTGAGTAGTTTATGATGGTTAAAAAGAAATGTTATCTGTTGTTCATGTTCAGAATTAAAAATAAAAAATGTTCAGGTCTCCCTGATGGCCTAAGAGTTAAGTCTCAGTGCAGTCACAGCTATGGCCTGAGTCTCAGTGCAGTCACAGCTATCCCAGGCCAGGGAGCTACCCACATGGCACAGCAGACCTCCCCTGCCTTGCCTGCTGCTCCCCTCAGCAGTGTATTTCTGTCAATCTGCCTGTTCTGCTCCCCAATCAGAATGTGGTGAATCCACTCACTCCCACAACACCTCTGGCCTGCACCCCAGTTCTTCTATGCATAAATAAATAAATCTTTTACAAGTAAAATAAATAAAAAAAATGTTGATTTGTATATCTGGTCCACTGACTTCTTTATCTATTCTGTTTTTCTGGGATCTATTGATATATAAACATTTGCTTGTCCCTCTATTTCTTCCTAGTTTTCTGAATAGCATTTATTTATCACATGATCTCCATGACAAATGGCATTCATAACTAATCTACAAGGATAGCCCATCAGATGTAATAAAATATAAGCCACATGCAATCCTGATATCTACAGTGAAAACGTTTAGCATTTATAGACATGCTGCCCCCCTAAATACACAAATCTGTACACTTGGATATAGTCTGGTATGATTCTTGGTATTGATGTCTAACTCTTACACAGAGAGAAGAAGTAAAAACTAGTGTGTTAAAAGAGTGAAAGAACATCAAGGGGTGCAGAAGAAAAATTTCCATTCCTGATAGTTTTTATGATTTTATTTCCAGGATCCTGAAGCTAGCTGTATTTCCCTTTCTCTTGGGTTCCATAAATACTCTCTATATCCATTGAGTAACTACATTTCTCTGTTTTTGCAAACTTGTGTGTGTTTCTTATATATGTATATAGTCAAGTAATATTTCTTAGTAATACGCTGTGCTATTAGAAGCACATAGTATCCCTAAAATAAACCACGATAAAAGCACATATCACAAAGCTCATGAAATATCAATTTACTTTAATGATTATGTTGCAATCTGACTGAAAATAATTTAGGAATCAGAATTCAACTCTTCCTTCTCTCTCATGTAATTATGCACTACAAAAATTGTCACTGTTGAAAATATTATTTAACAAATAATAATCAAACTAACTTAAAGACTTAAGTTACTTAGATCATTCTGTGGAATTAGGTATTTGTTTTTTTATAGACAGATTTGATTCTATTAAATCCATATAAGGATAAATACTTATGAAGGATTAATGATTAATGCAACTTATTAAATAAAAGATAATTTTACTGATCACACTCAGTAGTGATATCCATATATAAAATTTGTTGGCACAAATAATGCTTTTTACTTGCGTCCTGGCTAATAGAGATAAATTTCTTTTGACCCAGTGTGGGTAGGCAATAGCTTTTCCAAATCAAAGGGGATCTAAAAATCAAACAAGGAAGTCTAAATACCAACTACATTTTGATATCTTTTACAGACAGAAACAACTTGTAGACTCTGAGGCTACTATGCACCTAAGAACACAATAATTCTGTGCATTTTTTTTTTCAGATTCTCATGTTTCCTAAGTCAAACTAGGTTTGGAAACTTTAAAGATTATTTTTATTTTTAAGACTCTTGAAGTAAACATTTCAGCATTTATTAATCAAATTAATTACAGAGACAGTTTTAATTGGTGATTAAACTGTGGCTTCAGGAAAATATGCTGATATACATTGTAAATCTGAACAAACAGAGAATATATTCATGGGGGTGGCAGAAGGTGGCTTAAGTCATGTACAGTTTCCATTTTTGTACATGAAAATGGCCAAGATATATGGTTCAAATAAGACTATATATTCTGATCTATGATTGTAACTTTAGATGGACGAAGTAAAACCAGGTATGTTTACAGGAAGTATCAATGGTATAGGATACTTCTTTCAAGATTTCTTTTAACTTTACAGATGTGTTGTATACAGCTTTTAAACATTTGTATTTTAACGAAATTATTGATGACTTTCTAGTATTACTCAATTGCTATTCTTATAGCTTCTGATGTGCTATTGTAAGAGTGACTCAAAGTCCCCCAGTCAGAACAGGTAGTAACTGATCCACAGTAGACTTTGTGCTTGTACAAACTTTTTTTTTTTAACATAATCTACATTATTTATAAAGAATAATTTAAAATTGCATCTAGGTAATTGTTAACCTCTACTCATTTAAACAATTTCATCTCTATCTGTACCTATATTGATACCTAGATATAGATATTTGAATTCCTGGCCAACAAACTACTTTAGAAGCTGCAAATATTCCAGCAGTTTGTTATTACAGAGAAGGTACAGTTGGTATAAATGATTGTTAGTGGTTGGCAGAAATGCATTATTAATTCAGTGGATCGTACTTTTCAATATTAATTATCCATGGCATGGTTTCTCAGATCCAGTCTCATTAATCTCAGGCCCTAGGCCAGTATGCTAATTTGAAGTCAATGTAAGAATTAGTAAATATTTGTTCCTTGGTAATACAGTGATGAAACTATGAACTACATTATATCATACCCAAAGACCGTTATTATGTAAGGTATGAATTGGCTAACCTTAACCACCTCAAAGAGACTTTATTTTTCCATAGAACCTATGACACCCTAATAATTAAGAATATACATTTGATTATTAAAATAAATCAGGAAGTGTTCTTCTGTTTCCTTGCTTCTTCCATGCTTTCCTCCTTGATCATTTGTGTTTTAATCCAGCAATGTTATTCCATTAATTCTCCATGACTGAACAATTTGCATTATGAAATACAATGAACAATGGATGGACCAGGATCTTTGTTAATGAAGAATCACACTATTTGTGGCAAGGAAATTAACAGGGAAAATCCCCTGCCTTTTTGGGTGGGATGTTTGTGGCAAGTTTCCCAGGAAGGATTGAAGTGTATACGTCATGACCTGGTTCTTGGGACTAAGGCAGAAAGGACAGTTATGTCAGTGATTCTTTGTGAATCCTTTTCCCACATAAATTTGAAAAACTGTTTCTTGGAAACTGTTAGTTCTTCCACATAGTACACATTACTTACCCTGCAATTTCAATCTTAGAGTTTCCTCCCGATTCTATTAGAGCTTCCTAGTTTGACAAACTCAACTCTGCTAAGGGTTAGGAGGATGTTAACACACCAGCCCTGGAAGATGATCTATTAACACTTCATATTAACCAGCTACAACTCTAAGGGAGTCTGTTGTAGAGAAGATTCTATGTTGGGAGTTGGTTGTACTTAGATGAGTGAGTCTGTGGGGGTCCATCACTGATTTTTTTTAAGTATACACCTTTTCAAATAATAAAATCTTATTTCATTATAGAGTCATATCACTTCTTTGGCTTATGGTTTTATTTCTATATCTCTGAGTCCCATCTCTCTTCTTTTGTCTGTGTAAGAAGCCATTGTTCCTTCTTTCTTGCTTGCTTTTAATTATCCCTCAACAGGAATGACACGTTTCAGGAGCTGATTTCCTGGACTCCTTCTAGGATCTGCGGTTTCCTAACCCCCAAGAGTCCTCCTCAAGGGTTTATATATTGAGTTACCCCTTTTTGATTTTTAATCTTAATTTTCCCAATGGTGATTCAAAATGATCAAATAATTTTGTCAAGTCTGTGTTACTGGATCACATTTCAACATTCCTTCTACTCTCTTTAATATTTTTCCTATCACATGATGGAATCAGATTGGGAGTTGGAACTAAAAACTTTTGTTATATCCTGAGCTTTGGTGACTTGGGGAAGTTATTGAACCTGTGTGAGCTTTAGTGTCTTCATCTGTAAAATATGCATCCAATCTCAGTTCCTCAGTTTTGCTGTATCAAGTCAACCCATGAAAACACACTTCTTGTCCCACAGTGAACCAGGAAGTTATTCCATTTTCCTTCCTTATGGAGGCTATTGGTGTTACTAACATTTAATAGACACACCCATTGAAAGGCACAATCTACTTGTCATCCGTGTGCTTTTTCACCAAAACAGGTTATATCTTTAGTTTAACTACTATCCTTAGTAATGATTCCAGTTCTTCCTCTATAAATGATCCCTCCCTTCTATTCATCTACATATGACACAACAACTCCCTGAGAATACTTTCAATTTTGCTTCTCCCTACTTGTATTCCCACATGATAGCTAGAATGATTATGTATGCAATATGATCTGATATCATATATTATTATAATTATAAAAATGCATTTATAGCTTAATAGAATTTATTGTGCATACACGGTTTATCTATATATGCTACTTTGTGTGCATAATAAAAATTTATTAAGCCATAAATGTATTTCTATAGTTATAAAATTTCTACTCAACAATTTTGCTAATTACAAAATAAGAAAAGATATAACTGGGGGGAGAGACATCTCTTAAGAATAATTGATATCCCTTAATCTCTAGCTATTTCTTAAAAATCAATAAGAAAACAATAATGATTGCAATAGCTAA